TTTTAAGTGAACTGAATGATTAATTGTAATATTTAATCTTTTTCACCTCCTTCCCTTTCTAATTACAAGTGTTTATCAGAAGTATGACTTACTGTAACTGTTTTGCATTTCTCAAATCTCAAGGTAGTCATCTTCATTGTTAGATTGGTGATGTTGCTTCATCTTGATGTATGTTGGCACTACCGTTACACGGTTTACAATTTGCTTGGAGATTGGCAATTTCTTGTTGGAGAAGTTCTGTCGTGTACGTTAGATGTGCTCATCTTCGAATTTGCAGGTAAAAGAAGTATATTTCAATTATGCAAACTGATGGACTCGTATTCCATAGAGTCTATGAATAGTTTCTTTTAGTTTTAGTTCAGATTGGATTCTGTTTTACTCAGTGCAAATAATTCATTGCTTTTAATTACAAGTCATTGTTTCATTCTTTTAGGTGCTCATAGTTGAGCTTCATTTTTGCATTTGTCAGCCTGGCATCTCGAGTACAGAAAAATTGCAAGGTTCATCTGACGATAATGGATGGTTGCCGCGCACTCCTGGCATGCCTGGTGTGGAGGATGGTACAGCAAGATTCTTGGAATTGCTTGCAGGAATAAGGTACCAAGCTAATATAATAGCTCCACTGCACTAGATGGTTGGACCTGTTAAGGAACTGTGTTCAATTTTGTTATCATATCTGTTTAGTCTATTCTTGTATATTCCTATTGCTTGTATGTCATGCTATATACTTCAGGAATGGGGAGCACACATTGCCTAGCTCATTTGTCTATCTGCTTATTCCAGGTAAAGAAAATTTATTTTTCCCTTTGGACTTTGTTCTTCTCCCCCGTTCAATCGACATTTAGCGTTGTGGCACCTATAGTTACGGGAACTTTGATTTTCCAGGCCTCTTTAGCAATCACAGCCCCTTATACTTTGTTGGAACAAAGAAATTCTTTTCGAAGATGGGTCTAGCTTGCCATATTGCAAAAATTCACAGTGAGGTAATGAGTCATTACTCTGTGATCATTGCTGACTGGGTTTTGAGAAATTTGTCTTCCCTTTTCATATGTTTTCTTGGATGAAGGCATCTGTTGAGCAAAATGCATCGGAACTCAAGCAATACATCGAGGAGCTTTAATGGGGATCCGGTAAGCGTGTGATGCCGCTGGGGCACAGCAAGGGCGGCGTTGATGCTGCAGCTGCATTGTCAATCTACTGTTGTGATTTGAAAGACAAAGTTGCTGGTTTAGCACTGGTACAGAGCCCCTATGGTGGCACTCCCTTGGCTTCTGATATTCTTCGCGAAGGCCAGATTGCAGACAAAGAAACCCGCAGGATCATGGAACTTTTGATATGCAAGCTAATTAAGGTAATAGCACCAATGCCTGAGCTTGTTGAAAGTCCTTTGTGTATGTACTAACCAAGTGGAGAATTATAAGTTGTGTTTGGAAACATCTCAATTCATATTTGCGTTGTAGGGTGACATTCGGGCACTGGAGGATCTTACTTATGAGAAGCGAAAGGAGTTCATCATGAAGCACAAGCTACCATATGAGCAAATTCCTCTGGTTTCCTTCCACTCTGAGGTAAGCATAGCCCCTGATATGTTTGCCACAATGACACATATAGCACATGCCGAACTTCCCTGGCTGCCCCTACCAAATTTTTTAACTCAAGAAGAGTCAGATGAAATCGTTCAAGCAGGAAGCTAGCTGCCTGTAGTGATTCCTTTATCTGCTGCAATGGCTGTGACTGCACTTCATCTACAACTCAGGTACGGGGAGAAGAGTGACGGATTGGTGACATGCCGTGACGCTCAAGTTCCAGGTTCGGTTGTGGTCACACCGGACAGGAAGCTTTGACCATGCCTGGATGGTTTATTCCACAACGAAAAAGAATCCTAGTGATGCTGATGCCTCAGAAATGTGTGAGGCCATTTTAACTCTGCTTGTAGAGCTTGGAAAGTTAAAAGTAAGAGGGAAAAAGCTAGGAAATTAATCCATCCATCATACAATTTGTTTGCTTCCCATTTGTTTAGTTTGGTTTGTTAAACAAAATATTCAAAAGCAATCAATTGCAGAATCTCATTCGAATGGAAGAATGAATTCATAAGGCCCAAAACAATCTGGCAGGTCCAATTAACAAAAAAAATCTGCAAAGTCCATGAACGTCCCAACCACATGGTGTACCCGGAATATATACAAATTTCTCTAGCTAAAGACCCTTAAATCTTCTTAACTGAAGTAGCAACCATGAAACACCTCCTTGCTACTCAATCACTTCGGTGCTGGAGCGAGAAACACCTCCTTGCTTTTTAGAACTCCATGAAATTAAATTAGACCCAAGATACAAACAGTAGCCACCCGTGGAGCGACGATCATCAGGATCACCGATTCACTGGCATAGTCCGCATCAGAATAAGCCATTAAAGACAGGGAACCAGGTTTATAGAGATGAGATCTGATAAACAGCACAGGAAATAGATCAGTGCTTCATGTAGCTCTTCATGCTCCAAGGGATGCAGTCTTGTCTACTATTTAGTGTGAGTTTCCTTGTGAAAATGATTAAGCTTTCCTTGGAATAAACTTTGGGTAGTGTTCTCTGGTTTGATTACATTTTGCAGATCCAGAGGCTATCGAAACAGCAAGGGGAAGGCAACTGCATTTGTAAGTACTTACGTATCAATTTTTAAGTGATTATTTTCCAGTTCTCTATGTCAATGAATTAAGAGCCGGTAAGATGCTAAATGTAAGTACTTACTGCTGTCAAACATTGTGGATTAGCTTTCTACTAGCTCCTTCATTTTAGGACCTACCTGATTGAAACAATGAGATCGTCTGTGTTCATGAGTTTATTTCAGTGGCATAGTTCTTGAAGGAGGGATGCATTCATCTGTTAAAGACATGTAGAGAAGTATTTTGTATTTGATACAGCACATAGGATTTTTGGACATGGCATGCTTTTGCTTATGCTTTCAAATTTTTTGTGTTTTTATTTTTGAAAGCAATCTGTATTCTGTGTGTTTGGTTGTAGTTGTGGTGGTTGAAGAAACATAGCCCATATTCAGAGACTATGTTAGATGCATTCTCTGTGTATACTCTTTAAATATATTATTTAAGGCGTATAGCCGAGCGGCTATACTCTTTAAATATATTATTTAGGAAGTACACCCGAGCGGCTATACCTTTTAAATATATTATTTAAGGAGTATAGCCACGCGGCGATACTATTTATAGAAAATTAAAATGAAAACTTGAATGGCGTTTTTTTTTTTGGATTTCTTTTTTCCTAGCAAGTCTGGCATCTTTGCAAATACATCAAGCTAGGGTTTTAGTGACTATATTGAAGACATCAAATCAGGTTGAGGGGAAAATCTAAGGGAGAAGAAATTTTTTGAAGAATTAAACTTAGTTTACCTAGACTGCAAAATGGTTTTTTTTTTTCATTGCTCATAACTTGGACTCCAGTTCTTCAGTCAACTACATCTAGAATATTGGTTTTGATCATTATTTCATCCCTTTCAATCATATTTCAATGCATTCAGATGTTGAGAATTGTTCAACGAGCATAAAGATCAAATTTCTCTGATATGAGCAGTCGAGTCAGTGCAAAACTATGAGGGACAGCAACGTAAGTTATACATCTGCGGCAGCAAAGGTAGATGCTTGAAGATGTATTCTCCTTTGACACATCGAGCAATTTAATCCTCGTCAAATTGACCGTAATGTGTAACTCAAGTAAATATGCATTTCATGAACCCTCATAGGGTTCCCCTGCTTGTAGATTGACATTAATAATGGATGCCCTCTGATTTCTTATTAGTTGCAAATCAGATCATGTATTAGGTTATCTTTAATTTCTCTTAGAGATTCAATCCCACTCGAGCCTAAACTTATAACTAATGATCCCGATCAATCGTCTCCACTCTTTTCTTCTTTGTCGTCTATAATTTTTGGCTTGACCAGAATGAAATTGTGAAAGGGAGATTGGTGAGTTTTGGCTCAAAAATGACTGTTGAAATGTGGTCAAGATCATCATAGAGAGAGACCATTTGCGCAAGAAAGAATAGTTGAAACTTAAAAGAAATAATGGCTGCAAATTTTCCAAGAAACTTCTGAATTTATTTTGTTGAGGATCCATAACATTATTGATTTTAGATTTATAAAATTTGATGCCGCAAATGCCTAAACTACATAGCATACATTATCTAGAGATGAGTTATTATTATGTTTAGGCCTATCTTATCTAGAGATCACAAGCCAAAGACGATGCCCTCGGATTCCACAGGCTCGCAGCTCTCCAACTTGCTACCAAGTCAACCAACAGTAAAAATACCATATTCATCTCCATCTTCCAGATGCTCAAGGACATGGAGCTCGCCATTGGAGAGCCCCACAACAAACTGGGCTGCTTTTCATGGATGCGCCGCCATAACAAGTGGATACACCAAAATGGCATCACCAGCATTTGTGTAGACCAGCCTTGATATCTGCATTGCCATAGACAAAGCTAATGAGAAGCTACCGAAACATTTTAATGGCAAAATCTGAAACTTAAATATTAGATGTTCCCATGCTTAGGCATTCTCCAACCCATTCGGGGCTAAACTTAAATTTTCACCCTCCAAAATACAACTATTCATGTATTGCCTGACTAAAAATTTGACCCCACACTCATATTAAATTGTTAAAGAATGGTTTAACTCTATTTTTTTTTTGGTGTGGTTAATTTTTGTTTATAATTCCGTGATTTATTTTCATGAACATTTTGACATAAATATAATTGAAATTTTAGAAAAATAAATTTTGCCTATTTCAGAGCACATTCACATTTGTTTCATATATGACTTACAAAAAGAATTAACAATTAATATGTGCAAGCATCCCATTTGAAAACAACCATTGGATTGCTACATGTACTTTGTTGTGGGCTTGACAGGTGGCGCATACACACACAAAAAAAAATCACAAAAAAATCACGAGAAAAAAGAACTTTGATGATTGATGAAGATCAACCAACTAACACAAAAGTACATGTAGCAGCTGGTGGATAACAAATTTAAGCTCCCAAGTGTGGAGCGAATGCTTGAGCAAACAAGTAAAGAAGTGGAAGTCTCGAAGAAAACAACCAGGTTCTACAAGAGGCATTGCATTTCTACTTTTAGCATCAACCACAGTGATGAAATTTGTGAGGAGATGGGGTGGACATGCCATCAATTTTGTAAACTTTTCTACTAAATGCATGGGCAAAATGGTATTTTTGATCAAAATTAATTAAAATATGAATAAAAAATTTTAAAAACTAAAAAATTAAAATTGAACTCTCTCTCCCCCACCTTTATCCCGATTTCTACTCCCCCAAAACTTGATTTTTTTTTGTTGGTTTTTTATTTGATTTTCTTTTATTGTTATTTTAAAGATATGATTTTTTATTCATATTTTTGGTTTTAATATAAAAAAAACCATTTTGCCCTTTTATTTCACAGAAAAAGTTAACAAAATTGACGGCAGGACCATTTGTCCTAAGAAAGTGAAGTTAAGGGACCACGGGAACCATTTTGGAAATTGCGGTACTCAAATGCAAATCGGGTCTAAGTTCAGGGACTAATAAAACGATTAACCCTTTATTTTATTTTACCTCTTGCACTCCTTCCCTTGTGATTCTTCCATCTTCATTGCTATCGGCCCTGAAAATATTCCAAATTCAAAAAATTAATAAGAAAATAATAACTTTTCTTAAACCGGCAAAATCACAACCACAATTGACAAAAAGGCAAATGCTAGACGCAGTTGAACAGCATCAAACCTAATTTGTAGGTGTTGATGGAACGTTCAATTAGATGGAACACAAATAGGACACAACATAGCTTGGTTGGCAGAAGCATTTAACCTAATTTTTTAGAGGTGTTTATGGAAAGGTTGAATTAGATAGAACACAACCAAGACACAACATTTGGAAAAGCTTATCTCTTTTGGTCAACTAAACACAAAAACAAAAGGAAAAAACCCACCCAACCCAAACACCCCAAAATAGACTAGAGCAAACCATCCACGTGATTTGTTGAGTGTTTACTTTTACCTATTTAATTTAATTTACCCACAATAATTTCATAAAATATATATTTTAGAAATGAGCTTCACCGTATGGACCGTTGATTTGTTAGGAACGCAATTACAGAAACTTAATCAACGGCTGAGATAGAGAGAGAAATATTGGTCACTATCTTTTACCCCAGCAAATCCTTTGATCTCAAAATCAATTTCACATTCACATGTTACATCATATATGACCAGACCCACTCATGCAACCCCTATAAATAGCTTTTCCCTCAGGTCGTTTCGGACACCAAGCAAATCGAGTATATATCAAAATATACACCACCTTTTCAAGACCATCTCCCCTTTCAAACCAAAAAAGCTTTGAAACACACCAAAAACCAGCAACTATGGCTCCAATTGTCTCAAAACTTGGTATATTGGTGCCGGTGTGCGTGGCTTAGCAGCAGCCAAGCGGCTAGCCCATCACAGCATGTTTCCACCGGCACCAATGATACCAAGTTTTGAGACGATTGACCAAGGACACTGTTTCTAATTTGCTAAAGGATAAGAAGGTCGTTGTAGTTGGCTACAAAAAATCAGCTATTGATTTAGCTCTCGAGTGTGCAGAGGCAAATCAAGGTAAATACTAAATATATAGGTGTGGGAGTCAAATTCCTCCCACGGGAATATTCGCCTAAAGATTCTTTCGTCTTCTTCGCACCTCTCTCTCCCTGCAAAACAGATCGGAGTAAAGGACCACACCCGGGGGGTGTTGGCCAAAGGCCCTCCGATGCCTAAGTTAGGATGGGTGTTCAAGGAAAACCGGGTGGCCGGAGCCGTGTGTGGAGGCCGGAGCCTTGTGTGAGGGAGAGAGAAAGAAGATGGTGGCTAGGGTTTGTGGAGAATTATTTCTGCAGAGTTTCAGTAGGAATTTAGACGTACCTTAACCCTTGTGTGTAGCTAGGTATTTATAGGAGCCTCGGAGGCTAGGGTTTCAGAGGAATAATTCTGTAGATGGAAAGGAATTATTCCTCCCCGATTAGGCGAGATTTGATTAATTAGGGATTTGATTTATTTGATTTAAATCAAATCCCTAATTAGGGTAGGAATCAAATCAATCCCCATTTTAATTAGGTAATTGCTAATTTAATTGGGTAACTCCCAATTAAATTGAGTAACTCCCAATTAGGTCAAATAATCCCCAAATGGAAGGAATTATTTGACCTAGGGTGATTTAATTCGGTTCCCACAATAGGTTTATAATTCCCATCACCTTCCATGTACTTGTTTGATTTTCAGGTCAAATTTTAAATATGTTTTCCTGTTCTGGATTGTTAGCTTTCTTGTGTATATTTTTTTGGCATGCTAACCAATTAATCTTCAGAGATGATGAGCCCCGGAAAAATTTAGTAAAAGATAATTGTAATGAAAGTAAGATAAAATGGAAAAAAAAAGGAAGGTAAATTTCACTTTACTACCCTGAAGTTGATCAATGTTCAGACTTTACTACACAAAGTGTCTCACTTTCACACCCAAAGTTTCATTTCACTACAGTTTCATACCTGGCGTCGGTCTTTCCGATAACAACTCTGTTAACTATTGATGTGGCAGTAAATGGGCCACGTGGACCACTTAAACTATGTCAAAGTGAACTCAATTAAGGTGGTTATGACTACACTTTGACTGGACATGTTTTCAACGATTCTGAATCACTTGAATAGAATAGAATTCCACAACGTCAGATTTGTAAAGATGGAATTGAATTTGATGACAACACTAAGATAAAAGCTGATGTTGTGGTTTTTGCAACTGGTTATGATGGTAAGAAAAAAGTTAAGTCCATCTTACCAGAGCCTTTCAGCAGCTTGTTGGAATACCCTTCTGGTATCACACCCTTATACAGGTACTGGTTTTCTAAGATTTCCAGAAATTACCTAGTGTTAGAAATGTTAAAAGTGAAGAATAGAACTGTTGATTGTTTCTTCTGCAGGGGGCACAATTCATCCTTTGATCCCAAACATGGCTTTCGTGGGTTATCTCGAGAGTGTTTCGAACCTTCACTCTTCGGAACTGCGCAGCAAATGCTTGAGCAAACAAATTTAACATTTCTAACACTTGGTGAACCTGGTTGTTTTCTTCGAGACTTCCACTTCTTTACTTGTTTGCTCAAGCATTTGCTCCACACTTGGGAGCTTAAATTTGTTATCCACCAGCTGCTGGATAACAAATTTAAGCTCCCCAGCGTGGAGCGACTGCTTGAGCAAACAAGTAAAGAAGTGGAAGTCTCGAAGAAAACAACCAGGTTCTACAAGAGGCATTGCATTTCTACTTTTAGCATCAACCACAGTGATGAAATTTGTGAGGAGATGGGGTGGACTTCTTGGAGGAAGAATACTTGGTTGGCGGAAGCATTTAGCCCCTATGACAGTCAAGACTATCTGATGAAACAATGAACCTATACTTTGCAATAACATCCTAAATTCATAATTGACAGGTTCTTTACACCAGAACTCAAAATAAAGAACACCTACTTGCAGGAAAAATGATCAATGTATCATGTTCTATTTTATCTCAATAAAGAATTTTTCCATTGGTTACTTCTGAAATTCCAAAATTATGATGTGATAATATTGCAGAAGGGCAACAAGGCAGGGGATAAGAAACATAAACATGAGCTGATTGCAGAGTTGTCAACTAATTAACATAAGCAAAATACCCTCATGATCCACCATTTACAATAACATTAATAATCTCAAAGATATTACATCACTTAGAACGAGATTATTGCCATCTAGGTCATGCTGTATAGTAGCCATTGGATATTCCACAAAAATTTCGACCTCTATCGATTGAAATTTGCCTTCATAGGGCAGAAAACAACTGCCCTTTTACTTGGGACAAGTACAAACATGGCCAGCAGCATTAGTAATTATAACTGGCTTTCGAATTATACAAAAATAACTACTTGCTGACCGTGTTTTGTGGAGATATAATGGACACAGGGATGAAAAAACAAAACAGCTAAAAACAGGAGAACTTTAAAGGCTTTGAAGGAATTTGAGAGTTTCATCAATATGCTTCTCAGGTTGGAACTGGTTGTTGTAGATGAGTTGAACCACCCCATTCTTGTCCAGAACATAAGTCTGTCTTCCAGGCAATGTCCCAAACAGATCTGATGGCACTCCCCATTCTTTCCTCACCTTATTACCCTCGTCGCTAAGTAATGTGTATGGAAGTTTGTATTTCTTTGCAAAAGCCTACATAAATCAAAAACTTCATAAACTACTTCAAGCATGAGTTGCAATGGTTATGCATTTAAAACCATACTCAAATAAACTAAAGGTACTGTAGATACGATGAATCTCATACTTTCTCAAAAATATAATAATCTTAACTAAATGAACTCACAATTCATTTAGAAGCAAACAAACCTTAGTTATCATCCAGCAATGATCAAGCCAGTAGAATATCTACTAAACCCAATTCTGCTGCAATTACTGCAGCATATGTCCTCCAAACAACCAAGCCAATTTACCAAAGTAGTTAAAGCTGTTCCATACTAGAAACTGTTCACATTACCTTGTGTGATGATGGGTCATCACCACTAACTCCGACGACCTGGGCTCCAGCCTTTTTAAACTTCTCATAAGAATCTCTGAAAGCACAAGCCTAAGGGAGTATCAATTTGTCAGTGTCTGCACTAATTAAAGATACAGTCTTTATCTGGTGTTGTCAGCTCCAATGTGAATTGCATATCATAACAAATTAAAGGTTACAGCAAAAAATATTGGGCAAAATCAATATAGAATAAGCTGACTGAGAAGATAACCAAGCTTCTAAGTAAAACTTCATGCCCCTAACAATAAACTAAAAGGAGAATTAGAACATGCAACAATGTCATTATGTTTATACCTGTTTGGTGCACCCTGGGGTCTCATCAGCAGGGTAGAAATAGAGAACCACAGGTTTTCCTTTGAACTTGGAGAGACTCACAGTTTTTCCATCCTGATCTTTCAATGTGAAGGCTGGTGGAACCTTACCCTTGTCCACCTGTCAAGAAACATATAATCATAATCAATCAACAAAGAAGTAGCCATAGCCCACAAAACACTCAACATATCAGAAAATGTGAATTAAGCAATGTACCTTAGCAGCACAAATAAACATCTTTCCAGAAGAAGAAGAAGATGGGATTGGGAAAGAGGAGGAGCTGGAGAGCTTGAGGCCATAAAATTGAGAATGTGATGAACTTGAGACAATTGGGAGGCTTTTCGAAGATGGGTTGTGTCTAGGAGTTTGAGTGGGGAGCACAGAAGGGAAGTGGTGCTTAGGAAGAGAAAGGGAAGCCATTAGATGCAAGTTTAGAACCAGAGATATATCGAGTGTATCCTAACTTGTGCTTTGAAACTTTGTTTTTGTTGTTAATTTGCGTACATATGTTTGGGGAAGATAAGGGAGGGAGAGAGAGCGTTGCGAGGGTGTTGGGGAGAAGATGGGGATAGATTGGCTTTTCAGCGTGGACGATTTCTGACCCCAACCCAACCCTCTATTACTAGTTCTATTACTAGTTCTACTTCTAGTTCTACGTCGACCAGCCAAAGAGTACAAATTTGCTAAATACAGTAGAGTAACAAATAAAAAGCACAAAAACGAGTACAAATGCATGAAATAGAAAATAGTCAGTAGGGTGGTAACTAACCAAAAAAGCCTTTTAAATGTGTATAATTTCCTATACATTTAAAACACGGTAAAACTTTTGCACTCGCTATTGACGCTCCTAAGAAATTAATACATGTATAATAATAAAAATAAATTAATAAAGTAAATACATAACTGGACCAAGCCCAAGTGGCTGGGCCCAAGCCAGTTTTGTTTTGGGCCTCGAGCCTCCTGCGAAAATTTGGAGGGGTGGTCAACAAATTTGACATCTTCAAGAAAACAAAAAGCGTGCTCAATTCAGTGCTCGAAATCTGAATCGGGCATTGAGGAGGCAGTGTTCTACGGCTGAACCGGGCGAGTCAAAATCGGTAATAAACCCTAAACCCCTCAAAACTCATATCTTCAAGAATGGAATGCATAATGAATGGGGTTTCTGAATTGTGAAAAGAATTAGGTGTTCTGGGTTTTAGGGTTCTCTGCGTTGTCTCTGGAAACATTGAGTTATGGAGGGTTTGCAGAAGTTGATTGGCAAAGTCTCAAAAGACCCACCAAATTTGGGCAACTCTTCGTCTTCGTCCTCGTCTTCATTTGACAGTCACCGTGCCGGTGAAGGTCTCGCTGCCGCTTTGTCTTCTTCTGATCAGTCTCGTATTCTATTCAACAGACCTGCCAGGTACCTCTGCATACCAATCTCTCTTCTCCTTCCTTTTACTTGTTCTGCTCGGTCCCCTTTACAGTTTCATTTCATTAGGGTTGCGTTTGTAATGGTCTCTGTGAAACCATGAAGGGATTTATTTGCAACCAACAAATGTGCTCTCGAAATGGAGAAATGGGATTTTCCGAAAATTGGTTTGGTGTTTTTGAAGCTGTGAATTGCATGGATGCCTTCTAACTAAGCTTTTGGCAATTGTGCTTAGAGGAGTTGAGGTTGATGCTTTTTGGATATAAAATGTTTTGACAAACAACATGCAGTAAATGTTCTAAATTACAAACAAAAAAAAACAAAAAAAATTGAGAAATTTATGAAGGCTCGTTGGATGTTGTCTTTGTTTTCCTCTTCTTCTTCTTATACTGAACTGGCAATATTCCCATGTCTACTTACAGGCATGTAGTATCACTGTGGACGTGTTCAAAGCTTTGTACACTTTGCTTTGTTGCTGGAATTGTTGTTGGTTATACACTGAAGCGACGTGTCCGAAGCTGGGCTTCCAGACTACTCAAGAGAATCAAAAATGAATGATTGCAGCTGGATCTCTTTGTATTAATCTGCTTAATGTATCGTCGTCCATAGATAAATGACTCTGCAACAATAGTTTTTCGCTCTCGAAAGAGTGCAATTTTGAGAAGTTATCAGCAGAAAAGGTATCATTTTTTTGGAACTTTGTATTATATTGGACGACATTTCTACATATATGACAAACAATTGCATTTACATCTTTCTGAGCTACGATCATTATACAGATATAATTATTTTCCTCTATCGATAATCAAAATGAGTAGAAAAGAATGGCTGCTTGGTCTTTTGATGACGGTTCTCTAGTTTTAAAAATACTCCTTGTGGAACTCAAAACGTGTGGATGTCTTGTGACTCAGCTCGTGTGATAGCACCTTCAGCTCCTTTGCCAACATTGGCATCCCACAGTAGAATACCCCTGCAAATTAACTGGTTATTCTGATTTCTGTGTTTCCTGTTTCATTATTTTAGCAGATGCATGATTTTGACTCGTAAAAGCAAGAAACATGAACTCATGCAAACTTGTATCGGTAATGTTTTTAACAATTTAGTTTTGGTAGAATATATTTACCTACTGTAGAATATGGATGCTTGGAAGCTATCTTGGTAAACACTTCTTTCCAATTTGGTCTTGCGAAGTGAGTTCTTACCTGCATCGCATCAATATAGAAAGGGTCATTAATTGCTTAAGAACATAATTGCCATGTCAACTGAAAATGGTGATGAAAAATCATACTCGGGTGCCAGATAGGATGTCGACGCCATGTTTGGCATGGTTGAGAGCTTGGACCATTGTGATTAGAGTTGACCTTGCGTCACCCTCCTCGTAGACACTCGTAAGGTAGTTGTGCAGTTCAATCTGACCCTGCAACAAACAAGAAGAGCATAACACAGTCACTTAGCAGATCATCCCAGACGAATTTAATTATAATGTAAAATGATTAACAGTCCAGGTTTACTTTCTGATCCATTTCTGCAACCTCATCCATGACTCCTTTAAACCACTCAAAAGAGCCAGGCTCTCTGGTAACCCAATAGAAGTGAGCATTTGTGGTCCTCTGCGATTTCTTCTTGTCCCCGGGGGTCAAACTTGAAGATGTAAAACTGTTCTGGCTGTCTTCTGATCTACTAGTTTCTGTATTTGAATCCTAGGTCATGAATGCATTATAACTTAGTACCCAGAAGAGAGAAATCGATAAAATTTCCGAAATATTGTGCTTCGAAAGAGTATGAATTGTACCATTTGTTCTTCTGCTGTTTTCGTGCTGTTAAGTAGATCTCGAAGGATGCTTATAAAAGGGGTAGCTCCAATCCCAAGTCCGACGAGGAGCAAGACGTCATAGTTCCGGTATTCCTGTGCTGGTGCCCCATATGGACCGTCTACAAACAATCTGGGTTGGCTGCATTGATGTTCATCTACTACGTTAATGTTCCCATACATACGCTGAACCTAAATCTCAGAAGGTAAAATTGCTTAGGTTTATATACCCTATCGGATCCAGATTTCCTATCTGAACAAGTCTAGCTTGATGATCAACAGATGTTGAATCATCTCCCTCAGCAATGACTCGCTTCAATTCTTGAGTCCAGTCGCCTACTGTTCGGATGTGAACACTGAGGTGATCATCTCCTGGTGCCGAGGTAATGGAAAATGGGTGCCTGAATTTATAAACAAATGGTTCAGTAATTAGTGCATGACAACATTTTCCTGAAAATGGTTCAGTATGATGAAGGTTTAGTGGAAATCACACTCACCATTCAAATGGGGAGATTGTTGGGCATTGTAGAAATATGTATTGTCCACTTTTGTACTTAAACCCAGGCGGTTTGGACATGATTAAGCTAATGACATTTCCTGGTAGGACCGAAACCTGTTTAAGACACTCGGATAGCAATAATCTCTTGTTAATTCTTTTGACTGCAAACAACTCAAAGTACAAACATATAGATTTGAGTAAAACACTAAAATTAGCTTACCTTTAGTATCTTAACTGAATAATGCTGTGATCTGCATGTTCGCACACTGCGTTCTGCTATATAGAGCAACAATGGAACAGAGATGTACATCCATGTCTGCAAAGTAGAAGGGCATCAATAATTTCTGAGTCATCAAGTAAATCTTGTTTTGTAATTTTTACTGTCAAATTTCGTACCGTTTTCTCGTACCACTTGTGGGCCAAATACAAGCAGCTTCCATGGATGAGGAGCAAAACGTAGACCAGACCTAGCAGATGATGAGAATACCAGAACGCATTAAATCCAGTCAACTTGTTGAAGGGCGCAGGAAGCCTCACCATGTTCCTCCGAAACCGACGTGCTGCTAGTGTGAATGAGATGGCTATTAAAATCACCATTAAAATTCCAGTCACACCTTCAGCTCCAGTGAGCAGGAATTTGTAGGTTGGCTTCGTGCCATGGAAATCAGAGGAAAGTGGGGCAAATTTTTCTGGAGATGAGTTTACCAGGTGAGGAAAATCGCATGTCAGATGGTTCCCGGCATGAATGATTATCCCAACGGCTATAGCAAATGCAATTATCTGCAGCATAATAAGGAAAATAAAAGGTCAAATATTTTTGTGACTTGAATGAAAAACAAATGGGAAGTTCATGCACCCTTTTCAGTGTTGATTTTCACTGTCACATATACATTACCTTGTGGAAGTTAATGTTGTCATCAAATGGGAAGAAGGACCTAGCCCTGGTGGACCGGAGCCACGTCAGCGTATTTCGACAGACCGGTAGGAGGATGAGAGCCATGTTGAGCTTGAGAGTCTCTGCAGCCCCTTTGGCCACAGGCAAGCAATAGTGCATGACCTGAAATGCTGCCCTGTTTTTTCTGTACTGGTAGAATTTCCAGGCAAAGAGAGAAGCCATAGCAATAACCCACAACAGTATAATCCAACCCCTCTGCCAATTCTCCAGCATGAAACACTGAAGCGAACGGCTCAGTCTATGCAACAGGTTCTTGGGCAGTAAGGAGCTCGGGTTCTGGCTCCAAGCCACACTTGCTGTGCTCAGTGGCCTGCTGTAGTTTATGTAGACGTCTCTTTGTAGAAGCAGTGCTTCCAATTGCCATAACTGATTATAGGGCAAAAATACATTAAGAGACACTAATTGACTGATCAAGACCCAGAATCAAGACTAATGACTTGTTTTAATTTACCTCAATGTAACCGAGGTTTTCAGGATCGAGTTCTTCCATTATTAACGAAGCATATTCTTCAGCTTGTTCTTTGAGCTTAGATAGCTTGTTTGCAGAAGCACTGAGCATTATAAGCTGTAACAATTGAATGAAAGCAGCATTTAGTTGTCTTTGTGAAGAATAAACAACTTGTTAAAAAAGCAGTATTAGATGGGATTTTATTAGTTTCCCGCAGTCAACAATTTTTATTATTTTTACCTCTTGCACTCCTTCCCTTGTGATTCTTCCATCTTCATTGCTATCGGCCCTGAAAATATTCCAAAATTCGAAAAATTAATAAGAAAATAATAACTTTTCTTAAAGCAGCAAAATCCCAACCACAAATGACAAAAGGCAAATGCTAGACGCATTTGAAAAGCATTTAACCTAATTTTTTCAGAGGTGTTTATGGAAAGGTTGAATTAGATAGAACACAAACAAGACACAACATAGCCCAAAATTCATCACTTTTGGTCAACTAAACACAAAAACAATGCTCAACTGCAAAAGGCAAAACCCACCCAACCCCAAAATAGACTAGAGCTAACCATCCACTTGATTTGTTTTTGTTGAGTGCATAAATCTGTGTGTGTTTACTTTTACCTATTTAATTTAATTTACCCACAGTAATTACAAAAAAAGAAATTTAAAAAAATGAGCTCCACCGTCTGGACCGTCGATTTGTTAGAAACAGAACCTTAATTAACGGCTGAGATAGAGAGAGACCCACATGTCAAAGAAAATTTGAAGGCGCGCGTCAAAGCTGTTGTCCGAAATTTGCAACCAAAACTCGCGAAGCTCCTCTTTCGTAATTTTGGTGATGTTCTGCCCCCTCCTCCTCGCCAATGCGTCAAATATCCCCACCGCAAACTCCACCGAGTCCACCATCCCTTCAAAATACGTCAATTTTCCTTTTAAATTTTCTCGGGAACCAAACAGAAAATTTAAGCTCAATGAATTAGTTAAGAGAAACTTACCTATACATTCACCAAAGTCTGGTCTAGCGAGCAAGCCGTCGTCGGCGAGCGACTCGAACCTCGCCTCCACTTGCTTCCACAGCTCCTCGGCGCCATTTGCGCCGACAGTCGTCCTGCTGATGAATCTTAGCCCGTCGAGAGCTTGCCGCGCGCTCGATTTCGTCCGTTGAAGCTTGGCTTTGAGCCGGCGAGCCTCGCGAGCCGGGAGAGCGAACTCAACCGGCTCGGAATTTGACGCCGTGGTCCTCGATGACGCCGATCTCAGCCACCCGAACGTCCGGCGAATTCTCCTCGACCTCGCCGACATGCTCCGCTGCAGAATCCCGTCTGCCGCCGACACGTCGTCTGCCGCCGGAGCAACGCTGCACACGACAATCTCGTCGTTGTCGTCGTTGAGCTCTAAAGTCACTTCGACCAAGTCCTGGCTGAGGTCGCTGAGAAATTTGGGCAGCATTGCGCCGCGAAAGGAAGACATGGTTTCCTCCGGGTGTTCAAACCGGTGGCCGTCACTGGACCGCTTCGGACTAAACGACGCCGTCGCCGTCGCGGTCGTCATTTATTTTGGTAAGTAATTAAAACGATCAGTAGCGTTGAGGTTTGCGTTTTGTTGTGTTTGGGATTAAAGAGAGGTGGGTGTGTAGAGCGAAAAACAAGACATGCACCTCGCAACCGATTCGTCTCTCTCTCACTCACGCCATTTCAACTCTTTTGTGTAGTTGGGATTTTGGTCATGAATCAATCAACGAAACCAATTTGTCTCCACTTATATATCACTATTATTGTATTCGTAATTTGATGAGATAAATAAATAAATAAATAAATAAAAATAAAAGTTTGGTGATTTTTTGAAAGAAAAAAGAAAAGTACGTACTATACTTAATTTTCATGATATGTACTATAGGAGGAGTTTGAGAAGAAACAAAGTTTACGTTTCATCAAAATGTTTAGAATAATTCTATTTGCAAATTTAAGTAAAGTGTATTTCTGAAGACAAACCATATAATCTAAACGAAAAGGAAAATTCCCAAAAGACAAAAACTCTTG